ATCATTTTGTGATGTGGAAAGTCTTGATGTTCATATATTGATGGTTTATATTTAGGTGAGAGCACGGATAAAGAGAATGAGTTAAAAGACATGATGCTGCAGTATATAAGCATGGAGGCTGAGCTTCAGCATTTCCTCTCCGCAGTTGATCACGTCAAAACTCAGGTAAACTGGAACCTGTCTTCTCTTGTCAAAGTGACATCTTGTGGTCTTGTAGAAAATATCAGTACGTTACGCTTTTTTTTTTTTTTTTTTTTTTTTTGAGGGGGGAGGAAGGAAGACGTGAAGGGTTACATGTATCTTCAAAGCGACGAGGAAGGGTGTATAAAAATTCATAAAAAATATAAACATATGTGATACCTGGTATATCAGCTGTGCACAAAATGTGAATGTAGATTACCTTACTCAGAAATGCAACTAGATACCAAGTTTGATCTACATAGCACTAAGAACTTTCAATTTACGATTTATCAAGTTGAGTATAGTCCCCGAAAAGAAAACTGCTAAGCTGAACCAGTTTTAAGGATCATCTAAGGCTTCATTCCCAATGAAGCTATCGCTCTACGTAGATCGATCCAATTCTCGCTAAATGCAATCAGATCAACTGATTCCTCCTCCTGGCGTTGAGTAGATTACAACCAAACTGGTTATTATATGAGGAAATAAGAGTAGGCGTTTAGATCTGTTAATCTGATTGCATTCAGCGAGAGTCCCTGTGGAGCAATCAACGTAAAACGATTGTTTCATTGGGGATGAGCCCTAAGCGACCATAGATTTGTAAAACTACTTACATTGTCTAAATGGGCCGTTACAGTATACTTCAGCCACGATTACAAGTAAGAAGATCGCCACAGCCTTCATATTATTAGTGAATTTTTCTAGAGGTTAGAAATCAACAAATAAAATAATATCTAATATTTTACATTTCTAAATGACCAATTCAAACAGCTACATTAATAATACAAGAAGTATTCGTCTGGAGTATAAAACATTCGTAATATGGTCGGTTGAGTGTCTAAATAATATTTTTGTTATGTACAGATGGACGAAAATTTAACATAGTTTTAGACACATTTGATTGAAGTCTGTTAAAAACTTTTGTTAAATACGAGGAGGGCATTAATCCTTTCAAATTATTATTATTATTTTTTTACGCTAACGACATGTAAAAAATTTAAAACAAATGTTGCTTATTTTCAAATACATGCAGTTTCACATAAACGAAAGATTGGTGGAATCAGGTTTCACACGCAGCGTCTTTAAATCTGAAACAACAATTCTTACCTTGTCTGTCCCACGCCAAGCTGAGCAGCAATATGGATGGGCCTCAAGGTTCATTACTTTTATAGCGCACTACTGCCATTTTTTCGATATAAGAGTTACAAAGCAATTTTCTTCCAATTTGTTATTTTTTTATCATTCGCACAAAGGTAATAAGGTTTTCGTCATTATTACAGCAATTTCTGCGTTTATATCCAAAAGACATATTATTTTAGCAGTTTAAATAACATTTGGGCAGTTTTTATTCTATTTGAATAATTGTAGCTGTCCGCTTATTTAATTGGATGTGCCTGGATGTGTTACCTAAATACTAGACCTTTTCACACCCAGATAAATTGCATACTTAAGCCTAGATTACATTTGAAATGCGATGACCGTACGGTGCACGCATACTGCCCTTTTCGTACGGCGTCGGAGCGGAGGTAGACGGTAAGCGCTTATCACGTAATATACAAAAATCATTGAGGACCCCAACTCCCATCTCACCAGTGATATTGTTTATGCTAAAAGCCACCACTCAAGTTCCCGTCTTGCATGACCCTATTTAGAAGGTGTCAGTAGCCTACACATGATTATCTTAGATAAGGTCCTCTCCAGTTGAACATATAGGATTCCTCATGTGTAACCCCAAAAGAACAAGTTTTAAAAGCTTAATCACCCAGCGTAAAGACAACTATTCTTTTATTGACAGGTGGTTTCAAAATTACGCCAACATTTCAAAGTGCGGTTCAAGCTACTGAAAAAAGAAATAGAAAGGAAAAGGTGTACATGTGTATTCTGTACGCTTGGGAAAACTTCGTGTTGATAACCACATTCAACTTCAAAGCACCTTGAAAATTTTCAGAATGGTTTTTATTTCCATTTGTTCACATGCATGTACATAATCGTATGCACTTTCTGAAAATGGAGCCATTGTGATAAAAGCAGGTACTCTTTGGGCTAAGGACATTCGATTCTGCTGTCAACGCATTTGTCGCTGTCCAGAGAGACCCGAATTTTGTTTCCAGGACAACCGCACTCCGCGTTACACATCAGATCGCAAATCCATGGATCCGGTTCCCCACAGATGAGTGGGCAAGAGGAATAACAGTTACTCCACTCTAAGTCCCCAGTGCAACCATGCCCCCACCCTATTGTAAGAAATATAAAATGAAAAGGAACCACAACAAAAACATTTGAATAATAGAAAAAAATTAAAATAAAGATAAACGATGAAGACAGTGGGTGACAGATCCACGCTTAAGGGTGGAGTAGGAGACACAGAGACAGAAAAAAATGCAACTTTATGGCAATATATAGGGTGCAAGTACTTAAGCATCCTCCCCCCACAGCCCCCTAACTCCACCGGAATATTACAGAATTTAGAGTCATAATATTGTTCAGGATAAACACGTATGACAACAGAGGATACAAGGGGCATTTAAAATAACAATCAAGCTCCAGTTGATCAAGTTTGCGGCTGTCCCTTTCTCTTAAAGGTTTTGCCAAACAAATTATAAGTTTTTATTTCTGTTGTCATATATTTGCAAAACTACTTACATTCGTTCGTAAGAGTTCTACAGTTCACTTCAGTCACGAGCACAAGTATGAAAACTGCCACAACCTTCATCGTGTTGTTTTCTTCTGAAAAATAGAAATAAACAAATGAAAATGGAAATAACGTTTATATCCACTTTTCAACCAGTAGAACGAATCATGTTGAAACCGTGAATGTGAATATTTGTCTGAAGTATAAATTCTGAATATAGGTCCAGAAGAGTGTGGAAATAATAAATTTATTATTTACTTTATTGCATTTGCAAACGACCTAAAGATATATTCTCTAACTACGGTGATAAAAAATACAATAAGAATTAAAGAAAATACAAATACGTGTCTTAAAAGAAATTTCTTTATGCTCTTGTGCCAATGCAAATATTAAATAACAATCCTTACCTTTTTTATCCTTAGTCACAGTAAGTTGTGCATCAAGATGACCCGGTAACAAAGCCCATTCTTTTTATATCGCACAACCTTCCCATTTTGAAATGAGAGTAGCTCTCTTTGATTGTAACTGTCTCCTAATTTGTTTTTTATTATAAAGGAAATAAAAATAACGACATACTGATATTTACATTGTGTGTAGTTATCATCTTCAAAGGCGGATATATGCCAGAATGGGTTTTCCAATGGACATATAATACGTGCAGTGTTTATAATAATCATTAATCATGATATATTTTATGCACATGACTGCGCTATCATCATTTGGACGGTGCGTTTAATATTACATAATCGTACCTGGATGCGCTTTCATAATTTGGCTTTTTTCCACCAAACAGATTACACTTAAATGAACACCGATTTTTGAGTTAGGAATTATCCCATCGCAACAGGCAAAATATATTGAACCTACGTTGTGACGTTTACTTTGCATATGTGGTTCGTCCGTCGAGATCGACGAGGACCATGTAGTCATCCCATGAGTTACTGATTTGTGTTCTGGGTATGCGCTGGTAAGGCCAACCTTTGCTCGAAAGGATTTGCTGCAGTGTGGGCAGGGAATGGTGGCTGCTGTCATGGGCTTGCTGGTACTGCTTTTATTTTTCTGACCTGTCTTTGTTTTTCTGCCTTCGGTTAGTTTCATAGGCTTTGGCGCCATACTGAACATCTGAACGCCACTTTAGTCCGTTCATTGCAGATATCTCTCAGGTGTTATGGCTGATGTTGAATGCCTTTAGCGAGAGGCTTTCAGGGTGTCTTGGAAGCGTTTCTTTTGACAACCAAGGGTGCGCTTTCCGTGTTGAAATTCACCATACAGCAGTATCTTTGGAAGCGTAAAAAATATCTTGAAATGAATATTCTCGCTCATAATCCCTTTGGAAATGACAAATCTTTTAAACGAAGATTTAAGCTGTTGTACATTGTTTTGATTCTATGACAATGTCCGAATGCACTGATGTATCTTTATGTTGTACTTCTTGTTAAATACGTGTTGTGGTCACCGCCAACAGTACTGCACTAGCAAAACTGGCCAGTCTCGGTTTTGATCCTGTTGGTGAGAGTCACCAAAAGTTAACTGATAATATTGATAAAAAGGACAGCCCAAGAAATTTTATGTCCAAGGGTCATTTGATCATTGAAGGATAAATATATGTGCCTACATTAAAACAGTTCATGCCGTGAATATAGGATTAGCAGAATTCGACACGGGTGGTGGTGCGTTTGCGTGACTGCCCGTGTCTGAGGGGGGGGGGGGGGGGGGGGTTACCTTTTACAAAAAAAAAACCCCAACAGATTATTAAAA